AGCAGCATGTTGGTATGTAACTGCTTCCTCAGGGAAGAATGCAGTGCTTTGAAGAATAGAATGTTGATCACTAATCCCTTCAATGGCGAGCACGGAATGAAAAAAGGTATTGAGGATTATTTGTAAAGCATTAAAAGGAAATGTAAATTATTTTGCCAAATTGTGTTTCCATCAGAATTAAAAATAAGATTATAAAAAAGTACAGTGTGTTAGAAAATAATATTTTTGGCTTTCCTTTTCAGAGGGGAGTGCTGGTTTTAAGAAGAAATGTATAGTAAGAATTATTGTGTTGTAATTTATGTTGGAAAAACACGGCTAGAAGTTCATTAATATTTAGTTATATCAGTCGTTGCATTAGTATTGTGGGATGAAATTGTCTTACAAATGGCTTTTTATAGAGGTTTTTGCTGAAATTCCAAGAACATGGGGCAGCTGTACTCATTATACTTTGAAATCCGTAAGTGAGGGTTTTTGTGCCTGCTTTTCCATTAATCTTGTGAAAATCTCCAGCCTTGTAACTTTAATTGTTTATTGGTATTACACAGCTGAGAAAACCAGAAGTACAGCGTTCTCTTAGTAGTTACCTATATATTGATTGGCATGCAGTAGAGCTGCATTGGCAGGAGCTTGACATAAGATTCAGTGTAATGGTGAAGAGGAGCAGCAGTGTTGAACAGAACCAGGACAACCCCCTTACTGGGTGTTCCATACAAAAGAGATTGTGAGAAAAGGACATGCAGCGATGTTTTTCAATGTGTCCTTTGGTGCTTTGACTAACGAAGTTCCTTTGGGTCTTACTGCAAGCGCATGCGAGGCTGGTCAATGGAGGCATCACAGGTCTTATCTCCCTGTGCCAGCATTTCGGAATGCAGGCCTGAAGCTGAAGTACGATTTCTGTAGTGAGCCTGGATCTCCCAGGGAGCTAATTTGGGTCTGAATTCCCTGCAAGGGATTATTATTGCTTAATCTTCTAGTGATGTGGAAGTCTAATCAGGTTACTTTACTTCTGCATGCTGGTGCATTGAGTTGATTCTTTTTCCATGGAAGAAAACCCCAAAATTCCTACTGTGTTCTGAGAGAGAAAGTTGGGGTTTGCAGTTTGCTTTATATCAGAAAAGACTCACTGTGTTATCTTTCAGTATGTAAAAGAAATAGATATTAGCCTATCAAGGACAATGCTAGTAAGACATAATTAAAATCTAGCTCCTATTTTTTAGGAAGGTTTTTTGCAGAAGTTTGTTTATGCCAAGTAAGATTATTGATTGCTCTTATTTCAGTGACAGAATAATTTTCTAAATGTTCCTTTAACTTGACCATGTACTGTTCATCAGTTTCCATTCTGTTAAATTCCATCAAGCAATACAGACACTTGTCAGGTCAGTTTAAGAAAAATTTTAGATTTCTTTTTAAATGGAATTTTATATAAAAAGAAAAGAAAAGGAAAAATCATTCTTATTTGCTCATTTCAGTCATGGAAAAGTCCAGAAAAATACTGTGGTCTCCAATAAAGGTGGTAATAAAAATTTCCCTTCAGTGTTTTCATCTGACAGGTTACATCATTTGAGTCATGAAAAGGGTGAGATGCTGAGAACTTAATCAATTGATCATATTCTATGATCTAAATTCGAGACAGAAAAAAAAATACAACCTACAAACTAACAGCTTTAATAAGGCTAAATTATATTTTAGACATTTTACTTCAAATCCAAGGTACTGGTTATATCATAGTAGTGTTTTAAAATACCTGACAAGATTTAGGACTTGGAATCCTAATATAATAACAGTTTCTCCTAAGTATCATTTAAAAATCTACATAACAAATCCCCATTTTATGAAGGATTTACAGAATTACTTGTCTCATCACATAGTTCTGTATTTCTGTACAAGGCAGTGTAGAAGGTAACAAGTACTGGAACTAACTGAAGATGTTTAACAAAATTTGGTGTGATATTTCCTAGTTTAATGCTGATGAACTTCAATACTGGACTACATCCCAGTGATGTGGGAACATAGAATAGCATTTTATATGGTGAAGTGCTCAAGTTCAATACTCTGATGAGGAAAAAGAAAGATTGTTCAGTGGTTTGTGTTTAGCTAGTCAATGCTGGTGAGTAACTCTACTCTTTCTCCCTATTCAAATTTCACACAGGAGCATTCATACCTAGACCTAACTCAAGCTGAGTAGTTTGGTATCAGTCTTCTGTGCAGGTTTGCTCTGGATCGGAGAGGCTTCTGTGCATATCACTGACTGCGTTCTGGGAATGCTGAGCACAGGGCAGTAGACTCCTTGCATGAACCTGCTGGGTTGACACTTCAAACATTTGTACCTGATGGTAGTGCCTCTTGAGAGAGAACTCCTTATTTACATTAGTACCAGCTCCTTTAAGACAGAGAAAAGTTGTTAAATCTGAGAGTAGGAGAGTGCCTTTGGATTTGTGATGTGTCCAGAAGGACTGTCCTCCATCCTCAGTGCAGTCTGGCCAGTGATAATATATTGAGTTAGGAAAGCAGTCTTGTTAGAACCATGCACCAGTCTGCTGAGCATGCCTCCCACATTTACTCAAGCCCTGTAAATTGCAGTCTATACAGTGATATTTCTGTGGATAACATACTGCTTAATGGAAGGTTAATGAAAGGGAAATTATGGTACTGTGCTAGGAGTAGAAGTTTCAAACCCAGTTTGTCCTGAAGTGTAGCAGTGCAATGTTTAATGCATGACAGGACAGAGTGATGCAATTTTTGTTGGAATTGACTCATCAGTGAGAGCTCCAGATAAATCATATTACTACTCTGCAAGTTGCTCTATCTAAAATAATTAAAACAGGTATGACCTTTTAAAACATTTCGGTAGATAATTCTGGATGACTTGTGTATTTTTGACTGAAAATCTCTTTTTGTTATTACAGTTAGAGAAGGATTTCAGACTCAGAGACAAATACTGATGTCGTTTCACATGTGCAGCTGTTTCATTTGAATGTAATCCCTGAACTTACTACTAATTACTGGAACTGAGAAGCTGCTTTCTAATTTACATCAGTAGAACAAAAGGAAAAAAAGTTTGAAATGTGACAAAAAGTAATGTTTGAAGTACCAGATGCTGTGGCTAATAGTCCCAAAGCTCCATCAGGATGGCTTAAATTCTTCTGCTTAATGTGTTAAGTTTGGATTTTGGTTCTACATAGGTATCTCAGAACTAAGAGCCACTGAATCATGTATGAACTAGCAGAGGGTGTAGTCCTTTGAAGACTGCAATGCAAAAGACAGAACAGATGAAAAGAGGCTCACACAAACATTCATTTAGTCCAGATATACAGGATAGAGTATTAGGATTTCTCTCTTGTATAAACAACTTTTTCCCTATTCTATGTTCTCTGTATAGCTCATACACTTAATTTTTTTTTTTTAAAGAACTGGTATCAGTCAAAACAAGCCTGGTGCTAGTCCCACTGCATGTCAGAAGGAAGGTTTATAGGATCCTGAACCATTCAGTGACAGTAGTGAACATGAAGCAGATCACAAGACGAGTAGGTTCTAGTATGCTTAAAAAAATTGGGCTGACTGCCAGAGCTAGAATTGCTGAGAGGAGGCAGTAACATAAGGGAAAGTGAGAAGGCAGTGACCGGAGTCTAGGGAATCAGTGAAAAGAGGTTACAGTGGAGTTCAGTAGGCAACTGGAGTGAAGTTCAGCTTCCAAATCCTTGGAAATTACTGGAAAAAGTAATTGCCCTGTTGGCTAGGAGGCTGGTGATAGTACTTGTGGTGGCAGAGGTTTTATTTCTGGTGCTGTGAAGTCTCGTTTTGGTAAGTTGTGGGCTGGGTTCCAGTGGCTTAATGTCTTTGTGGCACAGAAGCAGCCGTGAGGTGCTTGACCTCTCAGTAACTGTGTGAACAGTACCTTGCAGTTCTCCACTGCATGGGATTTTGTCAGGACATGATGCAGCCTTCATACTATGGATGAGATGTTGCAGCAAGTCCATAAGCAAAAGCTGTAAGGCCTTATGTTTCCTGAAGTAATTTCTGATTCTCATCAGTTAGCAGTTGCTGATCAGACTTCTTGTGTATTCTTTGCAGAAGCCCTCTTTAGAGTTTTCATGAAGCTTAACACATAATCTAAATCCCTTCTAAGACTCTTAATTGTGCAGATGGCTTTGCACACACTAGTTTATCCCATGTGATTAGTGAAGAATTTATTAAAAAACATTCCTCCCCTAAATCTTATGGTTACCTTCTGTATGGCAGTTGCAAGCAAGTCTATTTGTCTTTTTAAATGATTGTGTTTAAGAAAAACATGTATTCAAACACAGGCATTTTTGTTTCTGTACATACACATTTGAAACAGTAGGCTTCTAAAATGGATTTGGCATGTCAAGTATTTCAGATAGTTTCTTAGAAACAGGAAATAATTAAAAATATCTGAAGCATCAAAGCTTATAAGAGATGAGCATCTCTCCTTTCAAACTGTGACTGTGATTGTATATTCCAAGATGAAGAATAACAAGAAAGTAAGTCACCATTGCTTTTGAACTATTAGGTGCATCCTGTCTTATCAAAATTTTAATTGCTGTGTGACTTTCTGCAATGGTCTGAAAAACTTAAATTTACTTTTGTTAAAATATACTTTTAATAAATTCAAGAACAGCTATTGAGTCTGGAAGTAAGGGAGTTGGGCTCCTACATTTTAAGTAAAGTGCATACCTTTTTATGTTGGATTAGAAGAATCTTGCTATGGTATCAAAATATGAGCAGTTAGCCTATCAGTCCTTAGGAACGAAACCAAAACAAAACCCTTAACAAGTGAACAAAATGTATTTTAAAAAATATTTTAGACCACATTGTGGACTTATTCCCTACAATTTGAAAGTGCTTTAACATCCCTTTCTTCTTACTTTTTCCTCTTGTCAAATCATTAAGCTATGCAAAAATGGGTAAAATAAGGCACATGATTTTAAAATTACATTTCTTCTGCATATTAATATACTTTTAAATTTCTTTTTCCACAGATACTTTCAGTAGAACAAGCATTCAGAAATAGAAGTCCTTACTCTTGATTCCCTGGTATCAAGGACCCATCAGGCACCATCTTCATTCGTTTTATCCAGTATTTTTTCCCAAGCAGAAGGAGAGTCTACTTCAGTGTCCATCTGTTTCAGCTGAACTTCTTGCTGTTTGTTTCAAATTACAAATGCCTAAGAACAGCAAGGTCGTGAAAAGAGAGCTAGATGATGAGGTCATTGAGTCAGTTAAGGACCTGCTCTCTAATGAGGACTCTTCAGATGATGCCTTCAAGAAAAGTGAACTTATGGTCGATGATCCAGAAGAAAAAGATGTAGATGTTGAAGAAGGCTCAGATGCAGAAGATGAAAGACCTGCTTGGAACAGCAAACTCCAATATATTCTGGCACAAGTTGGATTTTCTGTGGGACTGGGGAATGTGTGGCGATTCCCCTATCTGTGTCAGAAGAATGGTGGAGGTAAGTTTTTGTGATAGAGCTGGTTGTACCTAGATAATTATGCTGACCTCTCAGATTTAAAAGGTAGCAGAGAGAGCCACAGTCAAACATGCTCCAACATGTCAGGTTTTTCTTTTAGTTTTTGCCAGAGCCTATGAGGAAAAACCCGCATTCTTTTTTTAGAAAGATGCATTTGTTAAAGTAAGTAGCAGATTCTTCTAAGATGCCATTTCCTCATTTTAGGGTAGAAGGCTCTTGATGCAACCTTAGTTGCTGCTCAAACCAGTGGCTACCCATAACGTATAATTACGGAGGGTTGCATTATTTAGGACCTGATTGTTGTGCTTAAGTGTTCTTTATAGTAATTTGACAATAAATCCAAGGCATTAAAACTATGTCTACTTTGAAGACCAAAGCAGCATTTGATCTTTTAGTATTTAGTGGTACTAAGTTCACACCTTTACTTTCTATTTTCTTTTAGCTCCTGGTCATTTGATCATGATTTACGTCTGGCAAGAACTTCAGAATACTCTGGGAGGGAAAAATAAGGGTTTTAGTTTTTTTTAAATTTTTTTTTAACTGATGATAAATAATTTAAATCATTCCATTAGGGGACTACATCTGTTTTTGTACTGTTAGACAGTTTACTATTTTCGTAAATAACACAGTACCTTTCACTTAAAACAATGACATCAAGCTGTTTGTTAGTTGACCGTCTGTAGTCTTCAACACAGTTTGAAGTATGAGGCTGGAAACTTTCCTTCCTCTGTGAATGCAGGATTAGTTTTTCATCCAATGCTATACCATACCCAAATATACTACATTAATGCACACTATCATAGCTGACTACTAAGCTGAATTCAAAACAAACCTGTCACTTTTTATCACTTTTAGAAAGTGAATGTGTACAGATGTTGAAGGATAACATTCTACTCCTGCTGCTTTTTCAAAAGCTGAATGATACAGCTGATGTAATTGAGTATACAAATGAACTTAGAATATGTTAGGGTGAAATTCTTTATTTGTTTTCTCTCAATTAAAGCATAAAAAATTTAATTTATGCTTTCAAATATTCAATCTTCAGGACTAAGTTAAAATCTTTTATATCTAGCTACTGGGTTTTTTTTAGTATCATTTAAGTTTCTTTTTTTTCTCTTTTATTGTGGAGAGAAAGTCATTAAATGATTGATTTAAAGTATGTTGTTAAGATGGTAGTCTCAGGGACAATGAACTACAGCAGTTTATTTTGTGTAGTTGTGTCCCTTTGAAAGTCTGTGTCTAATGTAGGAATTTTGTGTCTAGTTAGGAATTTTGCAAGCCAGTTGCTTTAATTCTGGTCAAATATAAATTAGTTAACAATTTCACATTTCTGAAAGAAAAACCCCAAACTCACTAAAACAGTAAACCAGCCAATCTTCAAGGATAATGACACTTTATTCATCAAATTTGAAGAAGTAACTATGGTGTCACTAGAGATTGTATTTAAGTGTTTTCTCCTGTGCTGTGATTGCAGGAAATTGGATGCATAACATAGTGTGTGGAGATAAAATGTTTTCTGCACATGCTGAGACAAGGGTGTGTTTGGCTTTTAACAATGATTTTGCACAATTTTAGCAAATGGCAGCCTTCTTAGCAACAGAGAAAAGGAATTGATCGTTAGAGCTGAGGTTTGCTTGGTTTTCAAGTTAATCATAATGTAAGATGGAGAAGGTGACACAAAATTTGGAAATATTAAAGTACATTGGTGCCTGTATGTGTGTGCAGATGGACAGATAGTTACCACAAGTGCATAGAAGAATAGGGGGAGTGAAAACTTCAAGTACATGGTAAGAAAACCTACACACATTTTATATGAGGTTCTGTTTTCTGCTACACATATTATTTCAAATAAGTTTTCTAGGCTAAATTAGAGTGGTTTTATGCAACCCACGTAAATATTAGTGTCAGAACTGTTCTGTAATCTTCTGCTGATAAAGCTTTACTATAAATACCTGTTGAAGTCTCTTGGTATAAGGTAAACTTTCCTAGTGTATGACTTGGTCTCTACCTTCAGTTTAGACCTTCATTTCCTTCCCTGTGTTTAAGGAACTTATCTCTGGAAAACACCATGTGAGGGGAGGGAATTAGATTAAAAAGTAGTAAACCAATAGATCCAGTTCCAATTTAAACCAAAAAGAAGTAAAAACCATAGTTACTCATTAGTTTCCTTCACAACCTTCTTACAACACTAAAGCCACCAGTAAAAGACAAGACAAATCATAACTGTGAAGTAATCTTTATTTTTATTTTTTTAAAAACTTCTGTGGCAAGAACAGCAAAATAAACATAGATAAGACACAGCAAGGTTAGCCAAAATAGATAATGTTATTTGAGAATTTTGTGGAAAAAAATTGTGTTTCCCACCCTGTTTTCAATAGAGATTTAGTTTGTTTATGGCTGTGGCCTGTGGTATAGTGACACTCCTAACATCAGAGCTCTCTACTGCTTCAATGAGATACCTGTGATACCATCTTTAAAAGTAACTTGAGTAGCCCTACACTGCAGTGAGACTTCGGATGTCTGTAGATATCTTTGCAGTCTCTGTTTCTGGGTCTAGTCTATTTTACCAAACCAACTTCCTTCAATTTATTTCTTGTTATTATTTAACACTTACTCCTATTACTTTAATTCATAGCAGCTCATAAATATTTAAAGTAATACCTGGTATTTTTTTATAGTTGACTAAGTTACAGCTAGACTGGGTAGCTCTTTGCTGACTTTTGACACCTATTCCCAGAAAAATATTTGTTGGGAGAGGTGAGAGAAAAGGCTGGTATGCAGCTGGGATGTACTTGGATCCACACTGGTGATGTAGATGTAATGCCGGATGTAGCAAGTGGAAAAAAAAGTCTGGGAGCAAGCTGAGAGCACTTGAGGGTGCTGGTTTTCTTGACTTTGAGAGGGAGGGTGCAAGGGAATTTTAGGCTCTGTGAAATAGGGGCTGAGGATGTTCAGTAAAGTTTTGAGAACTGACTATAGATCTCTCTGTCCTCACCACAGGCCCTTCTTATGCCTGCCCAGACCTCATCTGGCACTTAGGGCACCTCTTCCACTCTTTGCAGCCTAACAGATAAAAAAGCTGTTTCATCCTTGATTCTTGATAAAGAAAATTTGTGCTGCAGCTGAGTATGCTCAACTTAATTTTTGCATTGTAGGATTTGTTTATTCCTCCTTTACTCCATGAAGGTGAATATGTGTGTCTGTTCAGATAAGCACAGTTCCTGTATAATAACAATTTCATAACCTATGTTAGCATAACTTAGGTTCAGAGCTGCCTTAGCTTCCTGTGGTTGATAGCCTTAAAAATGAACTGCTCAGGTCTACCCAGTCTTGCCAAGATGCTCATAAACAGTGACAAACTAGATTTATAATTTCCTGCTGCTCCTAATTGTCATCTGGAGGACAGCTTGCACACGTTTCACTATTTTCAAACAAAGAAAATATTTAAAGTTTATTCTCTTTGGTTGTCATTTCCCTTTAGGATTAGCAGAAGTATAATGATACTGTTACAAAATTAGAAGTAACGAGCAAATTGAATTAGCTAGTCTGCTAAAATGACTGAGTGTTACTTGAAGAAAAGTGAGCAGTCTACAAGGTACTACATGCCCAAAGATTTTGTATTGCATTTTTGTGAGCATTAACTTGATTTTTCTGATTTTTCTTTTTTTTCTTAAGAGAAATAGTTTTTAATATCTCTGTGATGTAAAAAAGTCAAAAGAACTAAACAATTAGAGATAAAAACTGTGAGCAAAATAGGAAAAATTGTAGCAGATGATGCTGTCATTATAATGTTTTGAAAAGATTGACCTGGGTAGAGTTACATTGTGAGTTTTTACAGTTAATTAGTGTGAATTTTTACAGTTAAATAGTCTGAATTTTTTACTGAAATACCAACAGATTGACTTTAAAGTTCTGTGGTCAAATGAAAAAGCATGGCAGTTGTACTTTTTCCTCTGCAGTGCTCTTAGAAGCAAGCAACTAATACAAGAGAAATTGGGAACAAAGCAAATATTCCCTTGTATTCCAACACTCGAGTATGGATTCAGAGGCTTTATTATGTAGCTTTGGATCAGTAATTTATATTCAGTGCCTTGAGTTCACTGATGACTACAGTATAATTTTTTGAGTTTAGTATTATCAGACTCAACATTTAGTTGTACTTTAGTGTACTAAAAATGTCTTGTTTCTATTTTGCAAGTGTAATTCTTCGTTGAAGCTATTTGGCTAAGGTGATATTCATCCTTGAAGCACGGTTTTGTAAACAGGCACACCTGAAAATACTGAAACTAGTGACAGGAAGACTATCCTATCAGGATAGACTATAAACCTACAGGTAAAATGTAAAACCATTTATCAGAGTTTTCCTGACAAAAGCAGTTTCCATTTTGTAGTGGTAAATAATTTTACTTACTGAAGCTTAATATACTGTTAATTTATAACGTTTTGTTGCTCACTTGTCATTACTTCAAAAATTTTAACATTTGACGTTGAAAATGAGTTTATCTTTATCTGAATGTCAGCTTCTTGCTTGCATTCTGGTAGTAAGTGTCTAGTAAGTGATAAGAGCTGGGATCTCTCTTCAAGACAGTAGTAAACTTTACCTTGATTGAATAAGAATTAAATCAGACACCAGACGCTTAATTAAAATCTAGCACAGCAGCAGCTGAAGCAAATGTGGAAAGGTAATATGTTTTTCAGGTTACAGCAAGAATTGCTAGGAGAAGAAAATTCTTTGGTAGTATCAAGGTGGTAATGGTTATGTTGCCTTGTGTTACTGCTTTTGAAAGTATTTTCCATCTCTTTAATCACTAATGAATAATGTAATTTTATTATTTCTTGGAGCATTTTTAAGAGCTTAAATCAAACCCAATGTCATTTTTACACTTCTGTCAATAAAATTGCCAAATGCAGTCCTTACGATAATCTCAAGAAAAGACAGTTTACCAGATATCCCATTCTGGTGCTTGATTAAATAAAAAAATAAGTAAATCAAAGCAGTGCACAGTTTTAACAATCTTGAAATCTTCATGAAATGTCTTATATCTTTGTCATTATTTCTAGAAAAGAAGTATGAGATTTTTTTTTTCTTATTGAGATGAGTTTTTTTAAAAAATATGAAAGCCAATGTTTAAAACCAAAACAGGCAAAAAAAAAAAAGTGACTTCACAGTTGAATAATTTTGTAAGTGTAGAAAGGAGACCTGGGGATTGTGAGCTACACAGAATTGTAATATTCAGAAGGCAGTTTAGCTGATAGGTGTAGCAGACGATTGATTGCAGAATGTTGTTCAAGGCCAATTTACTATTCAAATTTGAATTAGAATGGTTCTTATCCAATATTGTAACTGCAAGGTCCCATGTTTTCATGCAAGGAGGCATGAGACGAGCTGAGATGTTCCCATAGTGATTCTTTTTTAGGGTGAAGTTAGGATGTCATAGAGTTCTTTGAAGTATGTCTAGCTTCAGGGGAAGACTTCAGCAAAATACTTGCCCAGAGATGCTGTGGTTTCATGTTGACTATGGGGCATAGAAGCCCTTTGCAGCTATGATACAGCTGTATGATCCAGCTATGTCCAAGCTCTATCATACTGAAAGTCACACGTGCACTGTTTTCCATTATGTCCATTTTGGTGACAAGAACAAGATCAGATGGAAGCTCAGGAGGTTTGAATAATCAGAAGAACCAGCACTTCAGGTGCTTTGCACAAACCTAGCAGTATAGAGTTGAACTCTGCTGTCTGGCTACCCACTGAATTACAGAGTTGTCATGTCTAATGTAATGTGGATTTAACACCACATTTATTTAGAGTCTGACTGATAAATCTTGCAATTTACATTGATACTGCACCATGAAACACCCACATCAACCCAGTCTTTAAACGTGTGCTTAACTTTGCAGCCTTGTGATTAAGGTTGTGGACTGGGACACTGAAGAGCTGGGTTCAGTTCCTGCTCTAGTACAGTCATCCAGTGGGATACAGGGTAAGTCACTAGGCCCCAATTTTTTTGAGCTGTATAGGTTTGTCTCTGCTCAGCTGTGGCACATCTGTCTAATTAAGATCTAAGGTATAATTTACTGTAGCATTATATGATATAGCACCTCTGTACTGTTGGCTTTCAATGAATTGTATGAGCAGATTTTTTAAAGACAGTGATGCCAAAGCTTCTCACTTGCAGTGTAAATTCTGTATTGCAGAAATTTTGAGAGTCAGACAGGGGTATTTAATGGTTTCTATGTTATATGTTTATAAGACAGATAGTCTCCCTCATTTTTCAGTGTGGTTGTTGCTCTGTTCCTCAGTTTTCCTCACATTTACTTTCTTCTGTCTCTTTTTTTAATAGCAAGTAAGTCCTTTCTATTCTTTCCATTACGTACACATAGAAGATGAACTGCGATAGACACCAAAGTGCTGAATAGGAATGTAGCTGCTACCTCAGTAAAAACAACGCTTCAGTAGACACTGTCAGACAATATCATTGCATAGCATATTATCATGGAGCTACTTTATTGATAACATAGTCTATAGTCTCTGAGGTACATGAGACTAATATTCTTTGTCTGGTGCGACAGTGGTTTTTCATAGAATCGCAGAATCGTTTGGTTTGGAAGGGACCATAAAGATCATCTAGTTCAAACTACCCTGCCATAGGCAAGGAGCCTTCCACTAGACCAGGTTACTCAAAATCCCATCCAGTTGTCCTTGAACATTTCTGGGGTTGGGGAATTCAAAACCTCCCTGGCCAACCTGTTCTAGTGCCTAATCAACATTATAGTAAATAATTTCTTCCTAATATCTCATGTAAATCTACCCTCCTTCATCTAAAGGCCATTCCCCTTATCCTGACACTACAAGCCCTTATTAAAGGTCTCTAGCTCTCTAGTACACTTTAGTACTGCTATAAGGTTCCGTAAGATCTCTCTAGAGTCTTCTCTTCTCCAGACTGAATAACCCCAGTTATGTTTTTCCCAGGTCTTTTCCCAGACCTTTCCCAGGTCTGTTTTGCAGTCCTGGGACCAATGTGGTGCCTCCGGACTCATTCCAGGCGGTCAACATCTTATGTTAGGCTCCCATTTTTCTCAGATTTTATTTCTTCTTTTTTTTCCCTAGTTTTGAACACAAGACTGCAGTTACTCCATGATTAATATCTTTATAAGATCTTTGTAATGGAAGGGGATGTCCAATTAATGTATACTTCATGAGGAACAAAATAGCAAGTGGACCTAAACAGGAATGAATGCTACCAGAACATCTGAGACCTCCTGCAGAGCCTAGGAAAGTTAGGTTTCTAACATAAGCTGTATTACATGAGATAAATTGCCCACTAAGGATATGAAAATGCCAGTGCATTTTGATAGATTCCTAAAAAAGCTCTGGAAAGTTGACCCTGCATGAGGGAACTTAGGTCTTAGCTGGAGATGAGGATAAATGCCAAATTGGTTTCTGAACTTTGCTCAGCTTCTCTTTCATCACAGGATGAAGATATTGATGATACAAGTTAGCAGCTCTGAATCTAAGCTTCTGAGGTCTTTAGATCTTTGCTTTGTAGCTTGCTTCAACATGCTGCAGTCTGCATCTCTCAAAGGTTTTTCCTTAGCCTTATAATAGTTTCAAACAGAAGTTCTGAGGCCTTTGAGTAGTTGTCCAGCACAGTGGTCTGTATTGCAGTGTAAGAGCCACACAAAGTCAGGTGCCACATTGCTTATGCTGATGCCTGCATGTTTTGTTAGCTCTGGTACTACATACTCCACAACACCGAGGAGGAAGTTAGGCTTGAACTTGTCAGTGCACTTAGTGTATGGATATATTTGCTTGCAATCAGACTTCCTGATATGAATGGAGATGCATCCTTAAGTTAGAATTGTGTACGATCAGTTTCTGGGAATAAGACCTTAAAAAAGAGGAATTGCTTTTAATATATATGTTTATGTAAAGGTGTTACAGTTGCATTTCCAAATATGACTTGAAGAAGAGAGTTGGTGAGTACTGCAAGATACAGATCTACAATACTCTATTTTGCTTCTGCCTCATGTTCCTGTTTTCTGTCTGGAGCCCTGTGGCAACAGGCTGATACAGTTTTCTTGCTTAGCTGGGTAGCATCATTATTATATACAGTATGAAATCCCCTTTTTGAGCATCTGAGAAATGGAGAAGTCAAGAGCTATCTTCTGAAACTTCTTGTGATTGAAGCTCGCTTAGAATGTTGTGTACAGAGTGTTTTCTATATTTCTTTTATATTCAATCTTGCTGCTCTGTTACAAGTCAAGCTGTAAGGTTTTCTAAGTAAGGTTGTCTAGCTCCCGATGATTCTGTATTCCTAAAAAGTTTGATTGAATGTCCAATATTTTAAACAACTCATTTCAGTAATATCTCACTTGCAGAAAGGCTATTCTGAAACATGTTACAGTGCTTTATAGATTAGGTGTCTTTGGGTTTTTGATATCTTACAAGACTTACAACCGAGGTTCAGCCACAATTATCCTTGCATGTGATCAAAAAAGCATTGCAATGAAGGACACTAATTCAAATTTGAAGCTATTAGAAATTTTCACATTTGTTCTGTCAAGTTCTGACTCTTCTTCCATTTACTCTGATTTATTCTTTGTTCCCCTCATAGGTGCCTATCTTGTGCCATACTTAATCTTGCTACTGATAATAGGGATTCCACTCTTTTTTTTGGAGCTTGCTGTCGGGCAGAGGATCCGTCGGGGGAGTATTGGTGTGTGGAATTATATCAGCCCCAAACTTGGAGGAATTGGATTTGCAAGTTGCATAGTAAGTTATTTTAACACTGTATTTGCTTTCAGATGTTATGATTTAGACTTTTGTTTTGCTGCAGGGAAAGGCCACTGATTTATATCTGGGCATCAGAGTCAGTTTGCAGTGTTTTCAAAGATCTTAGAACTTGAATTGATCCATTAAAACTGTTGGCATATATGTGTCTGTTAATTCAATCAACTTGTATTTTGTGATTCTTTTGAAATTAGGAACTGTGCAACAGAGTACCCTTCTGGAGGAAAAATGCCTGTAAAAGTATAGACATAACATAAATAAATGTGGAGAAAAGCAAAAATTTAGAAAATGTCAGGTACTTCAATAGGACAACTTGTTCCGTTCTTCTGATTTAGTTGAATTAAACTAAATTTAGTTAATTAGGTTCATTGACTGATGTACAGAAATATGCAGAAGTTCAGCAAGCATTTTTCTATTTATTTCATAATGTAACTTTTTGTTTGTCTTTTTTCCTATTTACTAGGTATGCTTCTTTGTGGCACTGTACTACAATGTCATTATTGGATGGAGCCTGTTTTACTTTTCCCAGTCTTTTCAGCATCCATTACCATGGGACCAATGTCCTTTAGTTAAAAATACATCTCATACATGTAAGTCTATGTTAACATAAGGTTCTTAAAAATTATATGAAGTATATAAAATTTGAGATTTTCAAACAAAACGGAGAAAAACTACAATTTAAGGAGATGCTTGTGTGCAAAAGTGATCTATTTGTGTGTTCTTAAGTGTCCTATAAGAGCACTGTTTTCTGTGTAAATTAATAGAAGTGAGATAATCAGTCCTTTGAGTTTTGCTGTAATGAGATGATCTCTATGGACATATTCTATAACAGCATGAAAATTCCTTATCCCTTGGATTTGGTTATCTTATAACAGTACATATTTTGTATTATCATTGCTATTGAAATATGAATTATTTCTTTGTTTCCTTTTTTTTCTTTAATTATCTTTTGTGGGTTTATTTACTGCTTGAATAAAGACCAACCAGGGATGTTTGAGAAGTTGTACCTTTTTGTAGTGTCTTTTCCAGAGTTGCTTGCTTCAGTTATTATTTGGAAATAGTACTTGTGAATGTTGACACACAGTCAAACTGAATGTATTCCACAAACTACTGTCCATTAATTGAGCAGCAGTGGTTGTTTATGTACTCTTATCCTTCCTAAATATTAAGATACAGCATGTCAACCTAACTTGAGCAGAGGGCATCTGAACTAAGCTTAAAAAATAAAACAATTATATTTGATAATGTCTTACCTTTTTTACTAGGTTATTTCAGTGAAGATCTGTCATCTGTGTTAGGTTTCTTAAAAAGAGTGTATTTCCCCCCTTTTTTCCCTTAATTATCTTGACTCAAGACATGCTTACATGTATGGTTGATTATCAGGTATAAATAATTTATAAAGAACTTAAGTAAATATTTTCTCTGAAGAAAATTTTCTATTTATTTCTTACGTGTCTAGATACATGCAGTTTCTTAAACTGTTTGATAACATGACTATAACAGAATTACAGTATGATCCAAAGAATCACTTCTGGAATATACATAGCAACTTCCATTAAATATATCTATGTAGGAGCCACTTATTTCCTTTTCTCATCACTTTGGTATCATTATTTTATTATTTTATTGTTTATAATGGTAGTTAAGTCCCTGTTTATTTGAGTGTCCTATCAAAGCAGACACAACGATTTGTTTTCCGTATGTCTTCAAATTTGTGTTCATTGCAGAGACATAATTTTCAAAGTATGTAATTCATAGTATCATGTGCAGATAATGTAATTTTATGTGTGATAAATGGAATATATGTCTTCATCTAAGCCTGCCTACTGTTTAGTTCTGAAGTGAGAAATAAATTCTGCCTTGGAGTAGGTTTAACTATAATGTAGAGGAATACATTATCCCAAAAGGGTGTTTTAAAAGATATACCCAGAAGCTTTCACTGATAGCAGTCATTTTTTCCTTTAGGCTGTCTTAAGACTGTTCTTTGAGTTTAGTTTTTTAATAAATGATGATGGCACAATTAGAAATACTGAGGAGTGGTAGAACACTGTTACAAAATACCTCTCCTGAACCCATTCTGTACTTGCTAACATCTCTTTGACAGTTGTGGAGCCAGAGTGTGAAAAAAGTTCTGCAACAACTTATTACTGGTACAGAGAAGCACTGAATATTTCCAGCTCTCTGTCAGAGAGTGGGGGTTTAAATTGGAAGATGACTGTCTGCTTGCTGGCTGCCTGGGTCATGGTATGCTTAGCCATGATCAAAGGCATTCAATCTTCAGGAAAAGTGAGTATACTGTTTACCTGCATTACATTGTTTTCTTTTGAAGCATTTCAGGATACACCAAACTCTCTGTTTACTCTTATGAAATCTGTAGGAGCAGGTTAAGTGCTTTAACTCACCCATGCATTTTTATAATCTCAAGTAGAGGAATATTAGTAGTTAAGTATTAAAATTCTATCAGTTTTATTGGAAATGGTAGTAATTTAGTGGGAATTGAGATCTGAAGAAGAATCATTTTGCTTTTCATCAATGTAATTGTTGCATGTAACTGTACCTCAGCTTTATTGTGCAGCATAAGTCGCTGTGTTTTGAGTGTCTAAGGAAATAAGTTTCCATGTGTACTCACCATATGACTGCAGTGCATTCACATATGCATGCTTCTGGCATTAACACAGCTGTTTTCCAGGATTCTGGATTGTTTCTTTTGACTAATGACTTACCATCCCTTTGCATCTGAGTACTGTTGCCTTGTCGTCTTTCCTGTGCATGCAGCCAGCTGCATTTGCTGGTGAAAGACGTGCTAGATCTGTTGATCTCAGTGGATTTTTCTGAGGAATAACAATTTGTTCCAGTAGCAAAATTCTTTGCTATTAAAAAGTTTGGCACTGACATGGCAATTTTTGTGACCTCCTTGGGGCATTTAAGTTAAAGAAATAAGTAGCAAGTTTAACTAGAGAATCATTTTACTTAACTTTACAGAATAAATTTTTTTTTCTGTGATAGGCAATGAAAGATCAGACGTGATTACTATTTTTTGTTGTTTTGACCGTAAGCATGTGATTGAATTCATTGGTTAAGTGCTTTCTACTGATTCTTGTCCCCTTTCCTTCTGAAGACAAAATTAGTTTCTGTTCATGCTGCTTACCTTTGCCATACCCAGTCAAAGTGCATTTGCAAAGAGAAGCATTTCTGGAACAGTTTACTTCTGTCTTTGTTTTCATCTCATGGAATTAATTCTGAATTTCCCTGAAAGTCCAGAGGCTCTTTATCGGTTAGTGATAAATACATCAGGCAGTTGTATTGCTTTTGTACAGTACAGAATTTAATTTCTTTTACAGTCATGTCATTTTGCTTCTTCTGCAGAGACAAGGGGAAGGGGAAGTTTTCTGCATATTTCTTAGAGCATATGATTATCAACTCAGTCATAAATCCAAAGGATACTGTGTAGTGAATGAACATATTGAAAAGAAAGGCTGTGTTAAATGTCATGTTACATTTTTTCTTGCCTCCTTGCATTTCAGATCATGTATTTTAGTTCCCTTTTTCCGTATGTGGTACTTTTATGTTTTCTGATCAGAGGACTGCTCCTTAATGGGTCAGTGGATGGAATTCGTCACATGTTCACCCCTAAGGTATGTGCTTAATTTCTGTTTGTGGGGTATTAAACTTTCAGTGGCAATTTGACCATTTATGAATGCTCTCATTTAAGCTTATTGTTTTCATAGAACATTTGGCTGTATTTCTGTTTGCCTAAATTGCAGAATTTTTGTTTATCTCAGTGGCACAATACCAAGCCCTAAAGTCCAAAGGCTCTAGGTGTTCCAAGGGTCTGTAGAGTTTCCTCTCTTAGGTGAGGGTTCCAAGAGTTGTACACATCTACAAAGCTAAACAACTGAGAGTGCAATTTGGAGGGTTCAGGAAGTTTAGAGAGCTCTAAATACTGAGAAGAGAAGATTGCCATTTTCTAATATTGAAATGTCTAGTTCTGGGTTGTCAGTGCCTTACTTTGAACTATCATGATAAGCATAATTAACTTGTCCCTTTTGGAAAGAGCATTTTTTTTCCTCCTTTTTAGAAAATTTAAGCAGCTTACATAGTAGCCCAAAGTATTTAGTAGTGAAGTAGTGTAAATACTCGCCACTCAGCTTTCCTTATGAATTTTCTTATGACATGCCAAGATAGTCGCAGTTCTAAGCATTTTTTTATTACTGCAAATATTTTTGCCCAGAAAATGCCTTACACAGCTTTAGATTTTCTAAATACGGGGGTGATGTTAAGAATTACTATTTAGCTTGAAGATCTAAATTGTGCCCACACCTATCTCAAATGCTTGCAGCTACATCTGCACTATAAGAACAGCATTTTTGAATAGTCAGAGCCACAGAGCCATACTCAGGAATGAATAAATCTGGGCTTGCATATTGTATTGTGAAATGGGCTTCCCAACAAGTCCACTTCACAATACAGTTGAGAAGAACAGGACTATTATTTCAAAAAAGAAAACTAAATAATAAGATAATCAAAATCAATGCACAGAGTGGCTAATGCCAGATGACAGGGTGTTGTCAGTTGTTTTGATTCCAGGTGTTTTGAGTCTGGAGAACTGTCATCCTGTAAAAATTACCTTTGTCATCTCTCATATTTATGCAGTCATGTTCCACTTCACTCACTGTCAACACTTCAGAGTCATGCCTATGCAGAAACTTGCTCAGGCAAATTTGGGAAACCTGAGGGAGAGAGAAATGTAATGCCTACTAACAAGAGAAAGTCTAAAACAAAGGTGAAATACAGACCTCTGTAAGATATAAGTTGGCTTCTTAACCACAGTGTTAATACTTTCTTTGGCTGGAGAAGTACTACTAGATACTGAGGGGGAAAAAAAAAATTCCCCTTGTATCCCAACACCTCTTCAGTATTTACTGCTTCTTTTTAGAGTTATACTCTAAAAAAGTTTCAGCTGGTGCTTACTTTACAGCTACATTATACTTAATTATACAAATGTTTCAACTGATCATTTAAATGATACCAGAAGAAAAAGGGTTCTTAATTTCTTATGACAGTTTCCAGTTTTGTATCAAAATTTAAGTTGTGGTTTAAATTTGAAGATAGGAGGCCTATATGCCATATGTATTATCGGTGAATATAAACCTTACAAAATATTTCCATTATTATTTTTTGTACTTGAGCACTGATTTGGACTGTGGGTTCATGTGAAACTACCTGAAGAAATTCAGACTCCTGCACCTGTTGTTTCATTCACTCCACTGTGCTAACACTTTATTTGGACATCCAGGCTCCAAAAAGGAATGCTAAACCAATCTAGCATGAAAATTATCCAGGTAGATAGATGTGATAGGGGAGGTAGAAGCACCTTTTCGGCCCAATTAGCTGAACAAATGACCACATTTTGAGCACAGACAATTGCAGCAAATTCCCATAGTTATGCCAGCACGGGAGAGGACTGGCACACACTGGTGCAGGTGTGAGAGTTCAAGACTAATGTAGAAGGGGAGAATTCCTCTGTTTGGCATGGCTGTTAAAGCAGAAATTCTAAATAAGAAACTTCATGGACAACCTAAAAAAAGGTATGTGAAAAGCCCACTTAACTACTGCAGTTAAACTGTGCGATTATATGAAGCTGAAGTACAGAGACTCCAGAATTTCACATACAATACCTAATAGCAAATCAGTCTAGAGTTAATTTTGAAAGTCTGGGCTACGTGTATCCAAAACCATACTACTTTTAATGGTACCAAAGGATATGTTATAGGAAGCGAGAAGTGTTTTGGTGTTTCAACCAGTTGGGGATTTGTTACAGTTAAGAATGTTCCTTGCGCTCCCTCTGGTGGGGAAAGCTCTGGCATGACAGTGGCAGAGTTAGAGCTATGTGCAGTAGCCACTTGTGCATTGTAATAATAATCTAAATTGTAAGTCAGGAATATCTTTATTGTCATAAACACCTTTTCCCAATTTTATTGTATTTCATATATATATATAAGTGAATAAAGAAGCTTTCTGCTGCCTATCTGTAATAAATATTATATCTCCATGGGAAAGAGACATTTTATTCAAACAGACATTTTATTCAAAATGTTTGTTCAAAATGTTCTAACAATAGCAGATGTATTTCTCCTCAGAGTGTAATAATGCTGGTATCTATGCTGATGCTTGAGTTTTCTTTTTATGAATAAACCTAGGCCCTAAAGAAAACAAGTCACTTGCATTATGGAGGCCCTGAATCAGCTTGAGCAAATCTGATGTTTAAATTTGACATGTACTTCTTTAATTCTTTTTTGTGGTTCAGTATCTAGAAGAATTTGAGATAGATGATGACTCATAACTTTTTTGTTTTTGTAACAAAGTTTTTTGTTTTTTGGAGCAATGCAGTTGATCTGAGTGAACAATGCTGTTAAATCATTTTATAAAAGACTTAGTTGCCCCTGAAATACATGACCCGTTTAACATAGGGTTAAGTTCAAAGTGTCTGACTTAAGAGATTTGACTCATGCACGATACAGCTTGTGGTGGCGAGCATTCATTTCATATATTTTATTTTGCTTTACATATTTGCATGTAATAGAATTCTATATAAGCATGTGTATCTCATGTTCACCTTCTTTTTGTGCATTTGAAAATTAACAACAAAGCAACTTTAATCATACTCGTTGCATTTATTAAGAGGGTTGATTAATTTAAAATACATCTTAAGTCTAACAGAAGTCAGTACATATACTGTAAATAAAAGACAGTACTGTAAAAAAAAAAAGTTCTCATTCTCTCTTATTTCTCCATATAACTAGCTGCTATTTCAGTTACATAGCTCCAGTAGTTGTTGGGAACATATGTAGCATGTTTCTCCTCTATGTTTAGATAATATAAAATAAATAGAAATTCTGGCCCATAAGTTTGCCAACTTCAGGGGTCACATTCGGCTTTCATTTTACCATATTGAAAATACAATTGTAGGGGAGTATTAGCATTTTTATGATGTAGTGTTTATTCTGTTGTTTTTTTCATATAATAGAAATGCATTTTATAGCTGACATATATTATATCTAATTTCAAACAGCTTGAAATAATGCTGGATCCCAAGGTCTGGAGAGAAGCTGCTACTCAGGTGTTCTTTGCCTTAGGGCTTGGATTTGGTGGAGTCATTGCCTTTTCAAGCTACAACAAGAGAGACAACAACTGCCATTTTGATGCTGTACTGGTGTCCTTCATCAATTTTTTCACTTCTGTGCTGGCAACTTTGGTGGTGTTTGCAGTTCTGGGATTCAAAGCAAATATCATAAATGAAAAATGTGTTACCCAGTATGAATATCCATTTATTTTTTTTTAATTATTTTTACGGTTTATTTAATTTATGAACTAACACAGACCACTGAGTTTGTTCTCTCTGTTCTATTGTGTTTTACAGAAATTCAGAGAAGATTTTAAAACTTTTGAAAATGGGCAATCTCAGCCAAGATATGATCCCACATCATATCAATTTCTCAAGCATTACAGCAGAAGATTACAATTTAGTTTATGACATTATACAGAAAGTCAAAGAAAACCAGTTTGATTCTCTTGGTCTGAAGTCTTGTAAAATTGAAGATGAACTTGACAAGGTGAGATTAAGTCTTGAATACAGAGGTTAGGAAGAAAATGAATATTTCTAAGCCTGAAGTAAGCTGTGATGTGTACCTACACAGAGTATCAGGACAGTGTTACCTGTGAGGTGTGTACCTATAAAGATCTGAATGAAAGCATGGTTGCATTACAGCTCACTTGAGGACTTTTGGGTCTGATGTCTTAATATAGTCTTTACTGACTGATAATATATTTTGGTCATTATATAATTTTTCTCAGGATAAGTTTTTTAAGCTCTATTTTTCAGAAGAATTGAGCATGAGGGTTTTTCCAAAGACTAAACAGAAGTGTTACCTATTCAGTGTCTCAGACTGATGTTCTAGTCTCTAGAATATCTTGTCTCAGACAAGATATTCTAGTGCTATGATACAATTATTAGCTACAAATACTACTTCACTAAAAGTGAAAATTATCCACTTGTTAGGTAGTTGTTTAATGAGTATCATCCTATTTTGAAATCTTACTGTAAGCCAAATCTGTAACAGGAATTTCAGTTTTCTAGCTTTAGAGAGGCAATTGCAGATTCAAACACTGACCTATATAGTTTCACCAGCATCTGAAGATAAAATATAAAATTGATAACTTAGACATCTAAAGTTTCTATACTATGTCCACTGTTTAAATTTGAAGCAAAAATATAAAAGTTAAATCCTTTATATGCTTACTGGAGAAAACAGAATGTATTTTGTAGTAGTCCTATATAGTAGCTGTTGCGCAAAATTATCAGTAAAGGAGAAAAAAAAGTTCTGATTGGACATGAGAGGAAAATTCTTCATAACGAGCGCAATCAGCCATGGGACTAATCTCTCAGTGGAAGTGGTGGCTTCCATGTCGTGGGACACTTTTAAGATTCAGCTGGACAGGGTGCTGGGCCATCTTGTTTAGACTGCTTTTGCCAAGAAAGTTGGGACCAGATGATCCTACAAACACCTTCAAACCTTGTAGTTTTATTCTATGAAAGAAATATGTTAATGGTAATCAACTTACAAATTCTCATGCTTCAGTAAATAGTATTAATTGGAAGAATTATGTATTAGATAGCAATTTCCCACTCTGCCTTCAAGAGGCAGTCAGTGACGTATGAACACAAAGTCAGACTTGTCAGGCTTGCACACTACCAAAAAAAACAAAAAAAAAATCATGAATAATGATACCATTTTTTTTCCCTCACTGACAGGCAGTTCAAGGAACTGGTTTAGCTTTTATTGCATTTACAGAAGCAATGACCCACTTCCCTGCTTCTCCCTTCTGGTCAGTCATGTTCTTTCTCATGTTAGTAAATTTGGGACTTGGAAGTATGTTTGGAACCATTGAAGGCATTATCACGCCCATTGTTGATACCTTCAAGGTCAGGAAAGAAATTCTTACTGGTGAGTTATACAAACTTTCTTTTCTCCATAGAGCAGTAAGCTACATTTTTTGACACTTGTTCTTTTTTTTTTTTTTTTTTTAACATGAAGGTTTACAGAGCATTTTACAGAGCAGTAAATCACTGTATTTCAGACTCTACTTCCATGTACGGGCACATTAATATCTGCCAGTAAAACCTTTTCCTGAATGTTGCAGTAGCATAAACACCCTAAAACTTAAATTTTAATTCAGTTTCTGTTACAAGTGTCTGTATGGTCAGTCCTGTTGGGCTCTTTCAGAATACTTTCCATTCCAGCCTGTGTCACACATTGGAGAAACAAAGAAAAGAGTTAAAATGCATTGCAAATTACTACCAATTATTCCTGAGTAAGGCAGATGAAATCTTAATTAATAATGAAACTTTTATTATGCTAAAATCAGTACTGTAACTCTCTAGAGAAACATATTTTTCCCTCTTAAATGTTTATGATATCTTAAACAAGATGTCTAGTTGTTTCATTTGGTTTTTTTTTTTTTTATTACTTAAATGGCCTAAGTTATTTGAGGTGTAGCATGTTCATGTAGCTTTGACTTGTAGGGATTTCTTTTCTTTGTGTAAAAGCACGAGCAAAGGTGTGAAGGTTAGGTTTCTGAAAACTTTGAAGACCGCTGCAAGAGACTTGGTATGTTATGCACAAATTCAGCTTTCATATCAATGACTGTAAAAGGTAGGATAGAAAGGCAAATTTGAAAAAAAGGTGCTTTAACGTTATCTAACTCTTATGAAGAAAATAATAAACTCTGTGAGAGAAATAATATTACATTTTATAAGAGTTAACCCCTAATGCAGCAGAGCAACTGCTTTTTTCTAGTTGCTTTCCTTACTTTACTGAGTTAATAATATTTAATAGATAAAAAATTCAAATTCTTAAAAAAGAGAAATGAGTTGATTTTTAAGAAGTGCTAAGTTATTGAGGACTTTTTGGTCTGTTTGTTTTTTTAATTAAATCTTAACTTTTTGCTGAGTAACCAGTGCAGCAATTAGAAATTAGCTGTTCTTCCTAAATATGTGTGCAAGTACCATGATTTATAGTCATTACAGTGGAATAATGGAGCATTTTACAGTAATTCTTTGATACTCTGATTGACAAAAAAAAAAAAAAAAATTAAGATAAAGAAATATTCAAGAACTGCCTTTCTCTTGTAACTTTTTAAAGTGGTGTGCATGCATGATTTTAGCTAAACTCAGTTTTACTCAAAAGATTGCAACTTGAGATGGTGTTTTGTTAATTAACTGAAACAAATGAAATATCTGTATTATTTTTCATGCATTACTGGTTGTATTTAAGAAGGATTATGGCTACAGTAGATTTTGTGCTTACAAAACAGAAATTCTTGTAAGCACGAAATCTTCAGAAATTTCTTTCAGAAATTCTGAAATTTTACAGAATTGTTTGCACATTTGCTGTGAACTCTTTGGGTTCAGGGAAACCAGCTCAAATGCTTAAATTTATTTTGCATTTAACAATGTCATGCCTCATGCTGCGTGGTGGAAAGTCTATAAAGACATTATAGTAATAGTCCCTACAAGGTTCAAGAAAGACTTCTACCACAGTATTTGAAACAGTGTCATTGTCTTGCTTTCAGTGCTATAATCAATAATAATTTATTATCTTGAATTCATGCAATGGGTGTATTCTGTAAAGATATTTTATATTTTGACCCAGATAAATTTAACGTAATTTTGGACTACCTAGTTGCAGCCTTAGCCTAAGTTCCCTGTGAGGAAAAAAAAGAGCACTTAAACTGTAAGAATCTGTTTTACTGATTCTCAGCCTGCAACTGATTCCACGATTTATTGAAATTTGATTTACTTTAGCATTAAGTCCTCTTACTGACAAATTTAATTGGAGAAAATTGAGATCCATTATGCAGGATCAACCTTTCAAGAAATATATTTTGGATTGTCCCTAAAGAAGTGACAGAAATGTTGCTTAATGTACAAATACATTTAGAGAGATCCTAGTAGAACTTTATGCCATGAATGATGTTTTAGGATCAGTCTATTCAGCCTTTATGTTTTTTAGAATCATAGTAATGTCTTTGTATTATTTTTCCCCATATTTTCATATTTTTTCTTTTCACGAGTTTGAAAAGAACTTTTAAGTTCTTTTCATTTCTGAATTCCAAAAAGTGAGCTGGTGACCAATTAACATGATGTATGATGTTTTGCCTACTGGTTGATTTTACCTTTGCATTTACATTATGTTTAGTGAAAAATAGTCACTTGATTAATCTCTGCTGCTTAGTCAGGACTGCTGTGATATGGTGATTCTAGTAATTGTAATTTCATAATTTCTCTGTTTTGTAGGAAATAGATAGGATTACTAGTATTCTTAAAATTGAGACCCCCTAAACAATAAAATGTTACTAACTTTACTTTTATGAAGTAATGCATTAGTTCCTCTTTGTCCATGGAACTTTGTTTTGTTACAGCTCATATTTCTGTCCTTTATTCCAGTCATCTGCTGCTTGGTAGCATTTTTTATTGGCCTGATCTTTGTGCAGCGCTCTGGAAATTATTTTGTGACGATGTTTGATGACTACTCAGCTACTCTGCCCCTGCTTATTGTGGTCATTTTGGAGAATATTGCAGTCATTCGGATTTATGGAATAGAAAAGTAAGTGAAGGAAATACATCTTCCTGTCCATATCAGCACTATTCTTTACAATAATTATTACTATTTTAATTCAATTGTATGAAGCATTTGCATTATACACAGAAATACAAGTAATTAGAAAGTATGACAGTCTGGTCCAGAATATAGTCTCTTGTTAAGAATAAATTTGGAGCAAGATACACTACATCAGAACAGTGTACTGAAACCCAAAGAATGATTGCAAGAGGTCAAAACACAGGAGAATGCAGTATAAGAGGCAAAATTAAAGATTTAGAAAGGAGACTAGATAGAAAAATATAAGGAATTTGTATCAACAAAGGCATCAAGAAAAAGATTTCAGAAATAATCATGGTCTAAGCAACAGATGAGGATGAGCATTTCAATGCAGTATTCCAGGCAGCCTGAGAAAGAAACAAAGCAAGCTGTAATGGCAGTAGAAAGAAAAGCATTTCAATTTATGAACTAAATTTAGTTTGGGGTGTTAGAGCAATTAATTTTTTTTACATTAGTTGTGAGAGAGGAGATGATAGCAAAAACAGGGTCAAAGCTTACTTGGAAGCAGCACAGCTGACTATGAAGTAAAGTGACGTGTTGGGGATGGGTGAAGAGGAATGACCATAAATTCCCCCTTTTTTTTTTTTGGTTGAATTAATTTTATATCTAAAATCAGCAGAATGTGTTCAGTAAGTGAGATCAGTATATGCCATGCTTAAAGAATAGAATAGTTTGTATCAAAAATAACTTGCGCCATGCACAGTTTAAACAGTACATGCTGTACTAAAATGTTGTAGTAATTAAAATGTCTGCATTTCCTTTGCATGAAGAAAAAGTGTGACATAGAATGGGTAGGATTTCATTTGACTTTTCAGTTGTCTGATCTGAGTAATCAGCCAATCATTTGTCACAATGAAACAAAACTATAAGAAAATTTAGTTTTATGGTTTCCAGACATTGTTTCTGGTCTATGCAAGTAGTACTTGGTCTACTTGCTTGTTGAAGGGAGAATTCAACTTGGACCACAGATGTAATCCTATAATTGATCATTTAGATATAAATCCACCATGTAGATAATTTTATACATGCAACCAAAAGATAAAACAGATGATCTGGTTATAAGGTTGGTAATGTCCAAGCTCCACTGTAAATGGAAGTAGACATGCCAAAAGTCAGCAGCTAACCTGTGAAGAAGTTGATGTTTAGGCATAGCTAAAATATGGTAATTCTTTGCTTATGACTCACAGTGCAGGCAATTCATGTTTTCAGAAGGGGTTCTGATAGGATACAGTGAAAAGTTAACAGCCAAGTTTCTCATTTATAATGACCACCTGAGTATTCCCTCTGGAGTATTCCTCGTATTTCTTCTGATGTATGTTTCTGCAGAATATCCTTCAGGAACCAAGCAATTCAGTTTGCAAAAACTGTCAGTATCAACAGCCTCAGGTTGCCATGCCTGTGGTAGTACCAAGGGTTTCCCTGTAGATAAAGTTCTGTATAAATGTCTAATTATTAGACATTAATTCTTTGATCACATTGTAGAAAACCATAGCATAGCATCCAAAGGGTGCTATAGAAAAGAGACAATGAGTGAATTTCTGTGGCTAAGAAGTAATTCCCACAGTGGAATTAGTGCTATAAGGAGCATGAGCTAAAAGGAGACTTTTAGAAGAGGATGAGAAAGAAGACTACTTTAAAGTAAGGATAACAGATTCATGTTCAACTGGAAGAAGCACTGGAGATCTCAGAAAGAGAAAGCTACCTATAGAGGGCATGATCCATTTTATAATGCAGCTTCCTTTTAATGATGTGTTTTAATTCAGTATAAACAAACAATAGAATGCCTCAAGCTGTGCAGGTAAAATATTTTTCTGAGAGTTTGCATGACAGAAGCTTCAAATGTGTAACTGCTTGGAAAACATCCTTCTATAAGAGCTTTTTTGAGATGTACATTTCAAAAGGGAGTGGGACCACAAGGGAGTTAATCATTGCTTGTGCACACTCCACAGGAATTATTTCTAAAATAATTCTCTGTTTCTACTGCCTCTGGAACCATGTACTCCATCATGAGTACAAAAATAGGAGTTTTGTTCATGTCTTAACTTAAAATTTTGAGGAGAAAGGAGGCAGTTTTATAGCTTGGCAAAGTCTTATTTCAGCAGTTTATATGATGCAAACCATAGCTTATGCATAAAGTTGGTTTTTTAGACTGCAGCACATGTGTGGGTTCCAAATTAATATTGCACAATCTGTAAGATGTGCTGGTAAACAACCCAGGAGACAATAAAAGAAAATGTAAAAAAGAATCTTATAAAAGAAAAGCGAGTTTAAATATCAGCACAGTCCAGCAAGCAGCTTCCTAATTCACTGCACTGTGCAGCGATTCCTTTTGTTCATCTGGTCAGAACTACTAGTATAAGCTCTATTTTTCAGCCCATCAAGTAATTTAAATTACAGTTATTTCTATATACACATTTTTTCCAGTGTGTTGATTCCCTCAGGTTGGATGCTATGTATCTATTATAGTGCTCAAAATCTCAGTGTCTACACTAACAATAACATTTAATCCCTTCACAGGTTTATGGAGGACCTGAAGGATATGCTGGGGTTTTCTCCAAGCCAGTATTATTACTACATGTGGAAGTATGTTTCACCATTTGTATTATTATGTTTGCTGGTAGCTAGCATTGTCCAAATGGGATTGAGTCCTCCTGGTTACAATGCTTGGATTGAAGATATGGTATGTATATAGTGTGTATATGTATATGTAGGGTTTGTATGTATATATGCTGCCGTCATTATCATAGAGAAACACATGAGCAGACAAAAAAATTAAAATTAGAAATTCAAAATCAGTATAAATAATGACATGGTTGCTTTTATCTCAAGTAACTGATGTAAAACCAACAGTTTTTTAATTTTAAGGAGTTCTGCTTTAAAGTATAACTGATTGGCACAAACCTGTATGCTCTGAGTGACTTTTAATTTGTAACATATGATAAAGAAACTCTTAATGATGGAAGAGGTTGTACACATTTATTAAATCTTATTTTACTGCAGAAAACAGATGATAACTGCATAAATAATTTCAGATACCACATCAGGATTTTTGTGTCATAATTTTTTCCCTTTGGGAACACATATCACAATGTAGGTAGCAGCTGTATTAAAGCCTGTCTCTGATAATAACTTATCAGGGTGAGTGGCAAGACAGTTCTGAGCTTTGAATTAAAAAAGAAATTCAGTCAAGGGAACTCTGAAGACTTCAGCTAGTTGTAGGCTCATGAGCCCTCAGCTATTTCTACAGGCTTTTTATGCAAAATAGAGAGAGAGAAAATGTCAAGAGACATTCATCTAACAAAACTTTCCTAAATTAGCTGTGGAGGGAAGTCACAGCAAAGACAGGTAAAGGATAAACACAGGAGGATGACTTTACTATTGGTAGATAGTATGCCTGCCTCTATCCAGGCAACTACATGATTCTCAGAAAAATGCTCTTGCTACATTTGATTCTTGCCCTCAAAAATTAGAAGGAGAAATACCTTAGAATACCAAATACGCCATTCCACGTACAAAATTTTCTTTCCACGTACAGGCAAGCGGAGCCTATTGGCCATGGATGCAATAGAGGTGTGGGGTATAGCAGTGCCCCAGAATTACAGTTTACCTGATGTTTATGAAAAGTGCAGTAACTGAGATGGTTCCTGTCTAGACCAGCTATTAGCTTACAGAACAAGGGCTGATTTTCCAGGCACAGTTACAGATAAACACTGCACACTTGTCTGTTATGGACATCCTTTAAAGGATCAGAAAACTACAGAGAAATGTAGCAGAAAGCCTAAAGTGAAAATCTTCATTTGTGTGCTGCTGAAGTGCTCTCAGAAACTTTTCAACAGTGTTTTAGTCCTGTTCACTGGCTGAAAGATAGCAATCCTACATCTCCATGACTCTTCAAATTTGAGATCTGTAGTGATGCCCACACTGAGTGCCATGGAGTATGTGCTTGAAAACTGCAGACCTCAATGAGGACTGCAGGTTTTTCTTTTTTTTCTGGTAAAGATGTATTAATCATTTTTTATTGTGTTTCTCAGGCTATGGAAGAATTCCACAGCTATCCAACATGGGGAATGATTGTCTGTATATCTTTGATGGTGTTGGCCATACTGCCAGTCCCAATAGTCTTCATAGTACGCCGCTGCAACCTTATTGATGACAGTTCTGGTAGTTTGGCATCTGTATCCTACAAAAGAGGTCGAATAATAAAGGAACCTGTTAATCTGGAGGGAGATAATACAAGTCTGATTAATGGGAAGAGTCCAAGTGAAGTGCCATCTCCAAATTTCGGCAAAAACATATATCGAAAACAGACTGGATCGCCGACTCTGGACACGGCTCCCAATGGACGTTATGGTATTGGCTACCTGATGGCAGATATGCCTGACATGCCAGAGTCTGATTTGTAACCACAGAAAAAAAAGTGCTGTTTGTTTCTTCTCCCACTGATCACGGCCCTGCTGTGAGAAGTGGTCAGTGTCACTTACTAGGGTGCAATCTCAGGTGCTCCATAGTGACAGTCTTTAAAAAATGTCATGACTGTATGTACTGATTGAGAAAATTCACGATGGATTAATTCTCTTGAGTTTTTATTTGCACTGAAGGAAACATTCAAATGCAATGGCAGCCTACATATGCCAGCATGGCCAAGAATTTGATTTTTTAATTAACTTCTAAATTTAAAACTTTGTATTTCTAAAGCCCAGGTCTCACTCAAATGATAGAATATTTCTGAGGTAATATCATTGAAAATCAGTTTTTTTCTGCTGAATTTCGGGTTGACTCCCAAGTATTAATGGTGAGCTCTATAGTAGTTCACCAAACCTGTGTTTGTGTAAACACCTGTATATACCTTATGTAGATATGCTGTACTTATTTTATTAGCACTGATAATTACTTAGGCTATTAGCTGAGTAAAAAACAAACCTGCAAACTATTTTCTTATGTAATAGCTGTATAGAGCAATAGTATTAGAAAATCAAGGAGTAGACTTATAGGAAGGCGATCAAAGATTCCCTGTTCACTGGGGACTGCGTAAACTGTGGCTGTATATTTTGTGTAAAATATTTGCTTTTTCAGTGTGAAAACAATGTTAGAGTGAGTCACTCCAAGAATCTTAAGGATTGTGCAGATTCTGCATTTTTTTCTATGCTGTGTGCCTAAAAAAGACCTTGATATTTATTGTGGTTACAAGATTACATATATATTATATTTATATAATATACTTGTATTGTAAATATGTATATTATTCTGTATGTAATCATTTCAAAAGTTTTAGCAAGATGGCTTTTTTAATTAGTCTCCTTCAGTTTTGCTTCTGTTTTGTGCAGATAATTTTTTTTCAGTCAGTAATTGTTAAGAACTGTATGGCATTACATTTTAACCTACAAATAAAGAGATTGATAAGGTATTTCTCTGTGATATCATAATATAGCCTGGTTTTTCCTCATCTGGACTACTTGAAAGAATGATATTTACTAGATGAATAGAGATGCTAAAAGAACCTGAAAACAAAAAATCAGTCATAATAAACTTTTAGGGCTGTTTACTGTGAATACAGGAGGTGATATAGCGTTGTAAACTGTCAGGATACTCTAGAAGCTGGTACATGATCTACTCCTTACCTTAAAATGTTTTAAAATTAGGCATAAATTCTGATTTTTTTTACCTCTAATAAGCAAAGACCTTACATTGTCCCAGCATCGAAGAACTAGATTAATTTATTTGAGGTAAATGCAAGTCTCTGAAGCTCTGTGTCTCAAGATGACAGTTTTGAGCATGTCAGTATGGAAAAGTTATGACAAATAAATGGAAAGAAGCAACTTGATAAAATTCCTTATGGCTAACTCTTTTGTCACGGGAGAATAATCTCAGATAATTTTCCACTTCTGACCTGAGAGTTTTTGAAATTTCCAATCATCGGAAAGTTGAACAAATAGCATTAGTTGACAAAAAGCTATATTTAATTATCAGGCTTATTTTACATGTGATAGAAATTGTGCACCTAAAAAAGCGTTTTAAAAAGTCCTCTAAAATGCACATATTGGAACATACAGGGTAGAGTTGGCATAATTTAAGCAGCTTGTTCTTTTATAACTGATGTATTGGCAATATTAGTATGTGTGTAATGGCTCACCATTAGAGACAGCAGAAGCATATACAAAGTATTTCTGTTGTGGCAGAGCAACAGCAAATTTCCACCATCATACCACATCAGGCTTCTGACATGACTGTTTGGGGTAGTTGCTATGCATCCTTCTGTGCCCACAGAGTGCATAATTCTGTTCTCTTAGATGAGATACCTGTACTGACACATGATTTCACTTTTATAAACCCTAGTTGTCAATGTCATGTTTGCTGTTACAGAAGAGCTCTTAAAATTAATGTGAGCAAGATTTTAAGATTAAAGTGCAATAGTTATTTCTGTTTAATGCATCACAATGGGGACTAATGCTGCTTTGGCTGACTGCTGAAGGTTATTCTGCTGGGAATATATGTCTGCCCTTTTGCTCTTTACTTCAACACTTTTAATGAGTATTAAGATTTTCCACTCATTTAAACCACTAGTTCTCAATTGATTGCTTCCTATTAACTCCAGTTAGCACATCACCTCAGCTTCATGAAATGTTTCAGGCTTGAGAAAGTCCAGAATGTATGTCTTGACTGCTGTCAGATGTTCAGTTCACAATTTGATAATAACTATGATTGAACATGTTCAAGTGCAGAAGTTCTTTAGCTGTGGTTTATTATGATGGTCTCTTAAAAAGGCACAATCTGTCCAGCCTAAAGAAACAGTACTGGTCAAATAAAAATTGCCAGATGTGAATATTTAAAAAATTAAAATAATTACTATAAAGTGTGACATCCAGCTTCTTACAATATTAATGAAGGAACTACTGAAGCAAAGAACAAAATTGTATGTACATTTGCTAGTAAAGCTAAGGGAATTTACACTGCTTTGGTACTTCAGATTTGGGAGCAAAGTAGTAAAAGAAGAGGGCAGAAGAGAGAGGTTTCATATTTATCCACTTAAAAGCCAGAATGTGTTACACATCAGTTATAGCTACAATTAATCTGGGGGGTGAGTGGGCCGGTTTAAGGAAGAGATCATTGCAAAAGTCAGTCATGCTTAAAATTAAAGAAAAGCCTAATTGAGTCTTACACAATTTTGTTCTTAGGAAATGGCCTAAGAACAAGATCATCCATGTGGAAAGTGAAAATAGATTTCCAATATAATTATTGCAGAAGGCATAAGGTCCCTCTAACCAATATTATTTTTGGGATCTGATTTTGCTGCAGAAATTCAAAAGAATCAATCACCATTAATATGGCACAAATTAAGGCCACATAATTACCTCCATACTTATCACTAGAAGTTCCCAAATTCACTGAAGTGCAGGATAGACATAGAGTCTTGATGCCTGGTCTTAGTCTTTTTTGATGGATCAAAATTTTATTGATACTTTACAGAGTATCATGCAGTGAAGAAAAGAATGAAAATAGGGAGAAAAAAAATATGTAGGCATAAAAGAGGGTGGAAAAAGTGTTGAACAATCGTAACCTGTTCTCAGGAAGCATCAGATACAGTTTAGTTGATGAATCCTTATTCTGTCACAAGGGGAACAATGGTCTTGTCACACTCAGGAGGAATCGGTTATGATTGTGATAGCAGTAGCAGAGAAAAAAAAGGATGTGTTTACAAAAGAATTTTAGATACTCTGAAAATACTTGCCTGTATTAACCAGCATGGAACACTCCAGTGCCCTATTCAGGTGACATCCAGAGTATTTAAAAACTTTATACTTCTACCACATTTTTGAGAAGTTAGCAGAAAGACAGTTATGCAATTTTTTTAAAAATGCAGGGCATTAGTATCAAGATCTAATTGCCTAGTTAGATTCTGTGGTTTGAGGAAAAAGGAGGAAGTTAAAGTACTAGCTGTAATTTATGTGCCTTGCCACTCGATGGTGCTCGTATGTTACGTCTGTGGTGAAACGGAACGCTCAAGAGTTTTGAAAACGGCAGAATAATGTATTTTTATTCTCTATCAAGACAAGACTGTTGAATGATCATGATGTTGCTAAAGCTCAGAACTTTAATAATCTGTTCCTTCAGCAGCTCTCATAAATATTTGGGTTTTTTTTTTCAAAATTCCCAAAATTTTAATGCTATCAAAAGCAAAACCAAGCTGTCAGTATGCCATTGCCAAATAGTATACTTTTGGGTCTTGAGAGCAGGCAGTAGGTTCTTGAATCAATATTTTGAAACAGTGCTTTCTAACATGCTTTGTTGTTATTATTTCTTTTGTTATTATTCCTGTTTTTATTTCTTAAATTAGCAAAGTAATTAGTAGACAAATTAGTGGAATAAGAGAATTTCTGACTCTATTATTACTACTAACACTGAGAATTATTATTATTAAAAAATTCAGTGCTTCGCACCACCATCATCAGTAAATGATTAAAGCTGGCAGTAGGTGGATGAAAGGTGTTGGGGAGGTAGCAAGGAACACTGAGAAGAGGCAGCAGCTGAAGGAGTGACTCTGGCCTGCAACATTGCTTTTGAGGAAACCAGCTACTGAGATATCTGGTACTGTTTTCAGAGTAGTACAGCTGGTAAACATGCCTTGGGCATCTGGTTAACCCTTTTGGTAAGGAAAGTGGGAAGTATTTCTCACTAGCTGACAAAATCACCATGTCTTCCATTTATGCTGCCATACATATACTGTATTCATCATTACTGACAACTGAGTGAAAAAGACTTACCAAGACATCCTTGTCTGAAATCAGCAGCAGTACATGCCTTTAGTCATTTTTATCCCGCAAAGTACACAGAATGACACTGAGAGCTCCCATGGCATAGTCTTTAAATTAGGGTGTTAAAGAATACATTCCGTGAAAAACCAGATGTAGACATTCTCCCCTTTTTTTCAGTCTCATGTCATTTTCTGGTGATGCCCTCTGAATCTTTCATGTCCAACCCAAACTCAACAGGTGAAAAAAAAAAGAATGTTTTCCAACACTAGAAATTCAAAGACGTGAGATATTCTCTTAACTGAAAGAAATTGAAAGAAGAATGGTGTGAAAAGGCAAAAGAAACTTCCTTCAAAGCAAGTCTAGTAGATTTTCAGATTTTTGATTCAAGCAAAAAGGAAACACACACAAAGAAAGAGTCAGGTTTGCAATCCTGCAAATAAAGAATTAAGAAACATGTCAAAAGATTGATGAAAGTGGGTGGAACTAAAATAGAACACATTAAAAGAGGAAGGAAAAAGATACTGAGGAAATACGACTCATTCAATAAATGACAAAGTGTAACTTGAACGGGTAGTAGTTGATCAAAAAGATAAAGGGGTAAGGAGGGGGAAAGAAAGGACTTCAGAAGGAAAACAGATTTTGATGGCTGGTGAAGTATGGTGTAATCAAGCCTTTAGATGAAATAGTCTGCAGTAAGATAGAGCTGTTAAACAGAGGTATGAATCAAAAGTAGTTAAGTTTTTGTTAGCATAGGAGGAGAAGAAGAGAGGAGGAATGAATCAGGACAGAACACTGGGCTGGGAAGAAAGACTTAAGCTGTGCCAGAATTAATTTCTCTTCAAGTATTCAAGTGTTTTCTGACATACTGAAGAGCTTGATTATTTTTCATAACACATTTTGAGATGTTCTGGGGAAAGATGTTAAGGAAATGCAGCCTTCCAAAGTTACTTCATTTTAGCTGTCTAATCTGAAGACAAAACTATCAGGGTAAAATAGCAGTGAAATTTTGCCATATATTTAAGGTTTAAGAAGAAAAATAATTACTTAAAAGCAGAGAAAACTCAGTGTATGAGAATATGAGGTGAAGAAAAATGAGCTTGTGACTAAAACCTCTGAGTTGGAGACCACTGTGTTACTGTGATTTAACGTTTTAGTAAATCTCTTGGGCATTTGCCTAGCATCAAGGATATGAATAGTTCCAACCATTATTCACAGACTTGAAATTAGCCAAAATCTCAAAGCACCTAAACGATATGCCTCTTACTGCCTGGTCCCTGGAATGGAAACCAGATACCCAGCCTCCCATATGCAGAGCATCTGGAGAGTGAAGTGCTCCAAAATTATATGCCTTTAAATGGGCAACTATTGATGTGAGACTTAAGTGTGACAAAACCCCTTGTTATCAAAAAAAAGAAGGAACTGAGGCACTCTGGAGAAACTGCCCAACAGATGGGTGAGACATCAATGTCTGTGGGTCACTGCAGAAATTAAATGTTCAGCTTTGTTCAAGTATAAACTATTTTGAATGAAACTGTATTTAATTATACATATAATTGTATTTAAGAAAGCTGTCATGAATTTTCTGCTCTCCTGTAGGCAGCAAAACCAAACAAACTGCTTACCTGACACAAAAAATAGACTTACTTTCAAAAAT